CAAAAGTGAGAGCCATATGGAGATTTCGGAATTAGATGGATACAAGGTAAGTTAAACTTCAATTTCTTTGCAAATTTTGGAGTTAGATGAACACAGTTATTGTTCGATTGAAGTGTGGGTTGGGAAATTTGAAAGATAGAGCATTAGGGTTTTGAACAATTTTGAAATTTGGGGATTTGGAAATAGAATTTTGGTTTGAGACTTTATGGTTAAAATCGAGTGTGATGGTTGAGTTTCGGTCACAATGGATGAGTTTAAGTCAAGTTAAAGAAGTGATATAGGACACAACACGGTATGGGTCGGATTGTCATGAGGAATCGGATGACCTAAGGATTCAAATGCTATGGTCTCACGGTCACAGTCACAAAGGTCACAGTGTCACATGATTGTATAGTCACTAGGTTACAGTCTCAAAGGTCACAGTGTCACATGTTTATATAATCACAAGGTCACAGCCTGAAAGGTCACAATGTTTGATGTTTTGCAGGCGCCGTATATCTACAAACTTGATCAAATTCAGTTTTGCCCGAAGATAAATACGAGATGTTATCCGGCTCAGACACTGAAGAAGCTGAAAGACCTACTAACAAACGAGGAATGAATGTACTTTAGCAAAGAGTCACAGTTTCAGCATCTGTTTCACACCAAATTCGAAGAGACACTGAAGATGGCACCTGCTGCATTCCTCATCAACCACGCAGTGTTGGTCGAGGACAATTGCGAGCTATGGTTTGTCGTCAATGGAGTACCCATCAGGTACTCCATCGTGGAGCACGCCTTGATATCGGGATTGAAATGCGGTGAATATCTGCCAGGGTGGGAGTACAAAAGGAAAGACAAGTTCAGACTAAAGATGTTTGGGAATCGAAAAGTGTCTAAGCAAAACGTTCTTAGACAACTTGAGAAGACGCCAATCGCTAAGGTTGCTGATCGGAATTAGCCATGGTGATGATACTCGGAGGGATTCTGGACCATGGCACCACAGAAGATAGTATCAACAATGATTTGATGGACATGGTGAATGATTTGGATTTCTGCGAAAGGTTTCCGTGGGGACGATATACATTTGAAAAGATCAATGATCAGATAAGGAAAAGTTTCTCGAGTGGAACTCGGAAGGAAAAATGGCACTGTCGGGGATTTATAATACCCCTTATGGTAATTAGTTTTTGTTTAATGGATTAATTTAGAGTTGCCATTATATATGTTACTATGATTTGAGGGTTTGTTTGTTGTGTGATAATGTTTAAACAATATTTTGCAGTTGCTTCCATTCGAATGTATATCCGGCTTGGGTTGCAATGGGTGGTATAAAGATGTTGAAGAAGCAGATCCGGGGTGTCCTAGGATGTGCAAGAAGTCCGTGAAGGCAAACGTCCGATGGACCTTTGGTAATGACATAAAAAAGATTGGAAAGAAATCAGAGGTATGCCTAAATCACAATATACAATAATCACATAGTCACATAATCACATGGTCACATGGTCACATGGTCACATAGTCACATAATCACATAGTCACATGGTCACATAATCACATGGTCACATGGTCACATGGTCACATGATTCAAAATGAATACTTATAGTAACATTGAATCACATTTGTTTTCAGGGTATTAAAAGTATACTGCAGATAGAAAGCGGTGAAGAAGCACTTCTTTTTTATTTGGAAGGGTATGAAGGGAGTACAGATGAAAAGGTTCAATTTTGGATGCAACATCTGAAAAAGAACCCGGAAAGCATATGTTGGAAGAAGAGTCGTGATGTAGAGATGCATTGCAGAAAGTCATTGGAGATGACTTTGAAGGGTAAGCGCAAAGTACTGATAGACGATGATTCAGAGGAAGTAGATGAGAAAGAAGATGTTGAAGAAGAAGTACAAGAACGAGAGCAGCAGCAACGGCAACAACAACAACAACAGAGGGCTTTTCGTCAAGTAGTAACGGGGCTGTCACATATTGAAGCACTGAAGGAATATATACAGCTGGAAATAAAAGCGTCTGAGAGCCGAATCATCGATTCTGTTGGGGATATAGTTCGACGGATTTTCAAGGACGCTGGGCTCCTTCTTGATCCAGTTACGAAGAATCCAACAGAGCCCGTAATTTTGAGGACAAGTCCTCGCCACACAGAGGGGTTGACGACAAGTCCGATAGATCTGGGCAATGTGAGGATGAGCTCAACCTTCAAAGAACCAGAGTATGAAGAAGCAAAACCGGCAAGTCCGATAGATTCTGTTGGGACTGATGATTATTATGATAAGGCAGAGGAAGAAAACTTTATATTGCAGTCTCGAGATGGGACTCCTATGGCTGTCTCGCCCAAGAATGCACATAAAGGAGAAGGGTGTTCGGGACTTGACACAATTGTGGCTACTATTACTGCACAAGTAGGAAGTAAGTACTGGAATAAAGTTTCGGTCACAATGTAATTAGGTCACATGGTCACAGAATTTAATTTGATTGTATTCACTATTTTTTGTTTAGGTGATGGTGATAAGGATGAAGGTCACGATTCTCAAGGTCACGATGATAATGATGATGGTGATAATTCTGAAGGTGATGATGGCAATGATGAGGATGATGGAGATGAAGAAGATGATGATGGGGATGATGATGGGGATGATGATGAGGATGATGATGGGGATGATGAAGAAAATGATGATGGGGATGATGATGGGGATGATGAAGAAGATGATGATAAAAATGATGATCAAGATGATGATAAAGATGATGATCAAGATGATGATCAAGATGATGCGTCGGATGATGATAAAGCGAATGAGGATGATGTAATGTCTGAAAAACCTAACGAAGAGGTAGTGACGCAACCTGAAGCAGAAGTTATCCCCCCAACACCATTGAAAAGGAGTAAAAGGAAAGTTGCTGATGGTCTGACCAAGAGAAGTCCCTATGTCGATCCAGTATCAAGTGGCCCCCCTGCAAAAAGAACCTGATCCCATGCATACCGGGGCAGAGGAAAAGGTAGGGGCAAAGGAAAAGGTAGAGTCACCTTTAATACGAGCTAGAAAGAAGTTGAAGTTGCTGAGGTCGCTAAGGATTCAACCGAGAAAGAGGTTGTTGGTGAAAAGGAGTATGTGTGGAATCCTGAGGCATTCACAGTAGTGGTAAGTTCCTTATCCGGAATCAATCTTTTGTTGAATGCGATGGACCAAGGGCTACATCTCTATGGGAATTTATGAAGAAGCCAGAAGAAAAAAGATTGTGGAAGTCAGGGTTGAATGTTGGAGCGGGAACCAAGTTTTTGGGAGACGCTTTTGGAAGTCGGACTATGGCTGACAGATACTGTAAGTGTACTCGGTCACACAATCACAATCACACAGTCACACAATCACAGAGTCACGTGGTCTTACGATCACGATCCCACTGTCACAAGGTCACATGGTCACAGAATCTCAAGATTTAATGTTGATTGTATTTACTGACATGTATTGTTTTATTCTGTAGCACATGGATGAGGCGATGTACGAACTCCGAACCCGCATTATAAAGAATCCTGTGACCTTCATTGGATGCAATTCCTTGGTGTGTGACACCATGTTTGTTAAGTTAATCAATACATGGGCCGAATCGGGAGATATGACAACTGTGGGCGATCTACACCCATACTTCAACGGAAGGCTTCCAATTGGCTGTGCAGGGACGCCGTTGATCAGCTACGAGGGATTCGTGAGTGTGCTTAATGTTCTCGGATTTGGCAATGATGAAATCAGATGCAATTGGATTGCCATTAAAGTGGATTTCAGTGAGAAAACTCTGGAAATCTACGATTGCCAAGCCAGACTGCATGAAAAGGCGAAAGAGGCAGTTCAAAAACTCTGCCATGCCGTTCCGAAGTTGTGTTGCCTCGCTGGGTCGGAAGCTTTCGCTGATGGAGATGTATTGGACATTGAATATGTGCAGGACGTACCCCAAAACAATGGGGAAGAATGCGGGGTTTTCGCAGTGAAGTACATCGAAGCCATTTGCCTTGCCAAAGAGCGGATGCTATTACCGTTGATATGCAATGACAATGTCACGCTAATCCGTAAACAACTAGCAGCAGCAATATTCGCTAATGGCAAGCCTCAAAGGTTTAGGAAGAAGAGAGAGTGAACGATTTCTAAACCCTTCTTACGTTTATGTTGTTTTGAACACTTTTTAAGACTACTTTTGTTTGTTTGACATTATCTTTTTTATTAGTATTTATGTTTGTTTGGATTAAGTTGGGAAAAAATCTCGGTTTCTTAATGTTTGTATAGAAAATTATGGGGTTAAAATTTGGGAGGGAAAAATTTTAGGGTTAAAATTTGGGAGAGAAAATAAACTGGGACCCACAAAACAAAAAAAAACTGGCGAATTCTGACTATTCCTCGTATAGGTCCCACAAAATATTTCGGTCACAATGGGTCACAGTCGGTCACAACCGGTCACAACCTTCGATCCATGCGATTTTTGTCAATTTAATCAGTTTACAATGTCACACTCCCTCATAAGCCTATTTTATATTGTTTTGAACAATAAAATATGGGTTTGATGATATTTTGGTTTCAATGTTGGTATTCCAAATGTGTTCCTATATGTTTCATATTGTTTTATAAGTGATTTTGGCAAAATTGAGATAATCTTTCTACAAACCCATTTAAATAAATTTAAAATTTGCCTCTAACACTATATATTTGATATATACACTCTGATAAACCATCCCCAAGCTTTAAAATTCAAGTTTGGTTTATATTTATCAACACATTTCGGTCACGGGTCACAGTCGGTCACAATGGTCACACAGTGCAAAATTGTACTTCGGTCACATGGTCACATGCCGGTCACAATGGTCACAACGTTGTCTCATGTGAGTCAATTCATATAGTGTCTAACTTAAACCAGATATATGTCAAAATTCATCTTCAATAATACATCTTTATTATGGTACAAACACAATATTATATATCATTATATTATACACACATATTACAATATCATCAACCAAAGTCCTTTGACATTATTGTACAACATGCGGTGTCATTTTTTCTGAATCATTGGCACATCCTGCTTCAACTCTATATCTATCGAACCATTCCACGGTCTTGGAGATACACATATCCAGAAGGCCCAGCACCGGAAACCTTTTGGCCTTCTTCATTACAGAATTTATTGATTCCGCCGCATTTGTTGTCAATAAATTATACCTTTGACGCTTAAATTTACACCTTGCCCATTTCTCGGGATCAAGTTCTTCTTTCTGCATATACTCCGCAACTTTGGGATACCTACACTCACAATGGCCACATGGTCACATGGTCACATGTTTCAGAATAAGCAATGGTCACATGATCACAATATACAATAGTCACAATATACAAGTCACATGGTCACACGGTCACATGGTCACATTGATGATGATCACATGGTCACATGGTGACATAGTCACACGGTCACATGTTTCACAATAATCACAATTTTAGATTAGGTAATAATGATTAAAAAAACCTCGTACCTGTCCTTCATATCATTAAACAGGTCTTCAAATTCGTTCAACGTATAAGCTTCCGCGCATTTGAAGAACCGTTCGGCAATGGTATCACCTCTCGAACTTTTTCTTCCCATGCCTTTGTTAACCTTGACTTTCAAATTTTGTGCTATATGTCTCGCACAAAATCCGTGCCCTGCTTCTTTGTACACTTCGCTGACGGCCTTTATTATACTCCTATGTCGATCAGAAATCACGACAACATCAGGTCCATCTAGGATTGCCTTTATTAACATTTTCATAAACCACCTCCATGATGCATCTTTTTCTCTGTCAATAACCCCCCAGGCTAACGGATATAGGTGGTGGTCACCGTCTTGTGCCGTCGCAACGACCAATGTACCCTTGTATTGTCCAGTGAGAAATGTTGCATCAATTGCAACCACTTTACGCATGTAATTCCATCCTCTTACCGCTGCACCCAATGCGAAGAAGAGATATTTGAAACTTTTGCCATCTTTGTCCAACTCAAGACCGACAATCGTTCCGAGATTTCTCTTTTGCAACATGTGCAACCACCCAGGAAGTTTTCTGAAATGCTCAGCATGATCACCTCGAATCTCACTTTCAGCTTTGTGTTTGTCTCGTAATGCCGTCAAATATGTTACGGTTGTACCGTACTTGGCTTTTACCCTATCTACAATTTCATGGGCTGAAGGCGTACTATCAAGTTTACCGGGAAATTCTTCCTTCAAATAATCCCGAACCAATTTCTTTGTACCCCTCAAAGCTTCGCTTGTTTCAGATACGGGTTTGTAGCTATGCATGGAATTGTGTTTTCTTACACTCCAACGCTCCGAGTTTAAAATCAATGTCGTCCGCAACTTCCAATTACAGCCCGTTTCAGCAAATTTGCATCTTATTTCCCACAACTTTTTATCGGACTTCAGTGTACTGTAACGAAAACGACCCATAGCTGCACCCTTACGAACAAATTCTTGTGCTGCTTCCTTATTGTCAAACTCATGGTCAATTGTGATATTTAAACCATCACTGAAACTAAATACAGAATTCGAATACCGAGAGTCTGCTACTATCTCAATGGCCAAATCATCACCACCATCAGCACGATCCCCATCACATTCAGTCACTATAACATCCCTAAGGCCACTAGAATGTTCACTGTCAGAAAGATGTATAACCTCTGCCACATTATTACTCCCAACTTTACTCTTAAAATTAGGGCTCAACATAACACAATCATCATAATCTATCCCATCTCGCTTTCTACTACCTCCAACACCACTTTCACCAGCAAGAATTATAGGTTCTTCTTCAACATTTTGTTCACATTCACCTTTCACTCGTACCTCATCTATTTCCACATAAAGCATGCATCGCATTCCATTTATTTTATCCAGTAGATAAATATGAACATGC